TATCCCATCTGTCAGCACAAATCTTGCTATACATCACCTAATCCAACTGCCAGCCCACTCTGCTGGGAGCACGGCAGCCGGGTAACATTATCTCGGCTATCAACGGCCATACTGAACATGCCCAAGTGCAGTTAATGTCGTAGTTTCCTACTACCGGGCTTAATTCCAGCCGTGCTCAACTGTATTCCGGCGAAGCTAAGCTGGAGATTAGTAGCACCGGTCAGCCAAAGACCTTCTCGGCCAAGCTCCAAGCACAGGCCTTCCTACCGGGTTAAGGTGCGTGCATTACAACCTTGCAACGCGTGAGCCGGGGAGCCTCATCTAGGCTGTTCCTCCACCTGTCCGCCCTTCGCGGAACCGAGATCAGATAACTCGGTTCCACGTGAGCTTTGCCATTACCGAGCAATATCACAGCCTGATCTTAGAACCCAATACCTCGGCCCAAATCTGTCCGGCTAACGTCACGGCCCAATCTCAGATCATAAATCTCCCTCTCAATTGGTAAAGAGAAATTTTCTTGTTTGAACTGAAATTTCTCTGGGTTGGTCTAGAGAAATTCTCAGGTTTAAACTAAATTTTCTCTGGATTGGTCCAGAGAAATTCTATGGTTTGAATTGAAATTTCTCTGGGTTGATCCAGAGAAATTCTCTGGTTTGGATTAAACATGTATGAGGTTTACTAATTCATTCACACAAAGGGCACAAGTAGTGTACAATTTTGGTACGAATGTCAATATAAACCGAAAATCATTAAATTAAAGAAAAAATATATATATCGAACACAAGTGTTTATGATTCTAAATGTGCATAATCGTTTTGTTCCTTGTTTGACCTTTTGTATTTGCTTGCAGAGAGCACACTGCTAAAAAAGCACAGCTCATCAACATATCCATCTACCAAGGCTGGAGAAGGAACAAAAAGTGAAGCGAGTCTCTCCAAGACACAGCAGAAGGAGCCTTTGCTAATTGAAACGGTGCTTCTGGTAGTATTTGAGAGGCTCTTCTCTTTCCTTCTTAACTTGCCTGATGTAAATAAGTGAGTATTTCTGTTTATGACCCAACTATATTTATGTTTTGATTAGTTACCTATTTCAGAAATTTGGCAACCTCTTCTTTTTCAACTTTCTCTGGATTTCCAGCAAGAGCAAAGGTTGCTTGAAGAAAGGGTTACTACATTGTCTAGAGAAATTTTCAAAATTTCTCTGGACCAATTTTCTCTGTGACGTGAATTTTCTCTGGAGTAATTTTCTCTAGACCAATTTTCTCTAGATCAACTTGAGGAACTTTAGACATTATGAAAATATAAGATGTCCTTTATGCTATAAAATTTTAATACGAGGGACCTTAAAAAAAAACCCTTAATAAATACTCCTTGATATATTACACTTAAAAAAATTTATGTAATAAATACTGCTTGATTTAACATTAAGCATCTTACTTTTATTTTTATTTTTTCTCATGCGGATGTTTTAAGATTTGTTCCGACTAAACATGAAACCTTTTTTTATAAATTAAAAAAAAATTTAAAAAATTGGAAATTCTTTTAGGCTAATAACAGATTTTATAGTTATTATTGGTATAGAAAACCTTTGTTAAATGCCTTCGAACCATCTCAGTTTTTAAGGAAAAGGTGAAAAGTTTCTTGTTGGCTATGTCACGTGCGAGAGTGTGCGTGTTGCAATTTGGACATTATGGATGGATTAGTAAATTCACAAATAATCATATAACTATTTGGATGGTTTGGAGTAATTTCAATTTCCTATTTGATTGAAAAATATTTTTAAATAATTATTAAGTATTTGTATAATATATAATATTAATTTACATAATATTTTTCGTATATATAACACAAACTAATTATACATAATATTTTTCATATATATAACTACTAATTTGTAACAAATTTAACATTTTAAATCTTTGTCACACTCATTTTTATTTTGATATTTCATAAGAGATAAAAAAAAAATGAGTACTGCTATTAGCATCTTGAGAGGGGGACTCCTTAATTTGACTTTGGATCGAACTCGTTTAGGCCGGGCTGAGTGGGCCAAGCTTGTTTGGCAGAGCTAAGTCCGTGTGATCAGCGGGCACCTTGGATTAAGGATCCCGATCCGGTTGAGCCGGAGTGACTTTAGCCCGCTAGCCCGGTGGGATAGCGCACTTCAGTGAGACAGGACTTCCAAGTTTGGGCCGACCGGGCAGGAGAGCTGTCGGAATTAAGGAGCTCGGTGGAAGTACTGCGCGGTAGGAAGTAATCAAGGAAACCGATCAAGAGGAACAGTTGCGTCGGCAGGTCGTGGTGCCGCGTTTATAGTAGCCCAGTTGGAAGTGTTGCGCGGTTACACGGCATCGCGGAAAGGAGGTTCCGCAGATCGTACATTAATTCAATTTGGCGGTTTTTGTTAGGTGGTGTTTACCTGTTTTAGCGCTGACATGTGAGGAAATGTGAAAGGGGAGCAAGTCCACATGTCCCGAGAGGAATAGGCGCGAAAGTGCACGCAGAAACCATGTAAACAAGATTGCATCTCCATACAGATGCATGGTGAAAAAACTGAACTACCACATTATAACCTCTCTTTTCTCTCTCTCTACAGGTGTGCTAACTTGATCGTCGGAGGAATTTTCCGGCAACACACCGCCGATTAGCTCACTGTCGTTGTGTTCGCAGGTTAATCGGAATGAAGCGGAACTTGGACGCAAGGAGTACGGGCAATATCGGATATTTGCACCCCGTACATATCCCATCAATTATTTTAGACCCCCTATTTTTTGAACCCCCACTTATAAATTCTAAAACCCTTAAAATTTCTTTTTTTCTCCAAATAATACCAAAATTATCCTTGTGAAAATATTTCACCCATTCAATTAAATACACACCCCCACACCCCAAAAAGCCTTTCTCAAAAACTCTAATAAAACCCAAGAAAATGATTACTACTTTATCTTTATATACTTGTTCATGATCTGAGAAAACAAATATAAGATTTTTTGTTGTTGATTTAAAATTTCCCTTTTGTGGGTTCCACGATCTTCATGAGTTTCGGTTATCTATTACTAAACAAATAAGAAATGTTGGTTACTTGTTCCCGAACAAATGAACAATGTCTGGGCTTGTGTTCCTGAATTTCAATCATATGTTCAGAAGTTCAGTCTCGAAAAAATAATTAATAGTTTTTATTATTTTTGTCATTTTTTTTCAAAAAATTTACCCTTATAAAGCCAATTTCCTCTGAGCTAAGAATACTATCAAAGTTATGAATCTCCTCTGAGTTTTTATTGTTGTACTCCTTTTGTCTCATGGAGTTGTGGTTGTCCAAAAAAATTTCACTCATTGTCATTGCTGAATAAGTGTAGACAAATAATTGATGGGATGCTACTAGCAACACTCAAAAAAATATATGTATTAATTATAGTGGAGTGGAAATGGTTAAGAAGGCATATTGTAAATTTCATAATTTAATCCGTTGTTAGTGGATAGATCAGTACAAATTAATGCAGAACGGTGTGATTTTAACAAATTACATAATATTTTACACAGCTCTACATATACCTACTGCAAATTTGTACTACATTATGAACATTTTGATATAAATAAATGAATCAATGAATGGAAAAAATATGAGTGAGCTAATTCTAGCTGAGCTATGCATTTAACCCTAAAAAATTAACATTATGAACGTCCCGAAAAAATGACGAACATATTTTATTATTTTTTCCATTGTTTTTTTTGTAAAGAAACTTACCCTTACAAGGCCAATCTCCCCTGAGCTAAGAACAACATCAATGATATGAACCTCCTCTGAGTTTTTATTGTTGTACTCCTTTTGTCTCATGGAGTTGTGGTTGTCCAAAAAAATTTCACTCATTGTCATTGCTGAATAAGTGTAGACAAATAATTGATGGGATGCTACTAGCAACACTCAAAAAAATATATGTATTAATTATAGTGGAGTGGAAATGGTTAAGAAGGCATATTGTAAATTTCATAATTTAATCCGTTGTTAGTGGATAGATCAGTACAAATTAATGCAGAACAGTGTGATTTTAACAAATTAGATAATATTTTACACAGCTCTACATATACCTACTGCAAATTTGTACTACATTATGAACATTTTGAAATAAAAAAATGAATCAATGAATGGAAAAAAATATGATTGAGCTAATTCTAGCTGAGCTATGCATTTAACCCTAAAAAATTAACATTATGGACTCAATTGCTCATTTGGCACAATTGCATAAGGTCTAAAATTATATAAAAATATTAAATTATTCTAATTTGACTTGATAAAAACTCATTTGAAATCGGGTTAAAATTTTAATGAACTAAATTTAAACAAATTTTGAGATTCTTTAAAGTTTTTAAAGTAAATTTAAACAATTAACTGCTTAGCTTGTTTATCATTCCTAATCAATTGTTCTTAATTATTTAAAATTGAAATTTAACCATTTAACCATTTTTTAATCTTCTATTTGGTCCACTAAAATAAGATGAATTTAATGGAATGATTTTTTAAATTTCCTTATAATGGAAGATAATAATTCATTTATAATGTCTTTTTTATTTTTTTTAAATCAACTAAATATGAAAATAAAAATTTTGATTCTATTAAACTCTATTTTAGGTTATGTTTGGTTCAAATATTTGAGAAAAAATTTAAAAAGAGAAAATAAAAAATATATATGTAAAATTAGATAAAATTTATGTACATTGTATTTATATTTTACTGTACTTTTTCTTTTTTTTCCTTCTAGATCACTTTCCAAATTCTTAAATCAAACACCGTCTCAGTGAACCAAATACTGTCCAAAAATTGACCATTACGATTGGAAGTGGTCCGAATCAATTTACCGGATCCACCATTTTGCATCTAGTCCGACCCGGCCAATCCAGATATCAACTCAATTTCCCACCACACGTTCGAGTAAACGACAAAACCAACTAACACTCGATCTTGTGGTTGTCAATTAACGGTCGAATATATGAAAAAAACTTCACACAGAGACACAGTCCGATCCACTTCACTCACCACTCTCTCTGTCTCGATGGTCATCTGCAAAGCTTCAAACCTGAGCTATGCATTACTCTCTCTCAATTTCTCTTCCAAAACAAGCCCCGAACATCTCCCTTATTTACAACCCTACCCTTCTCTGCGCAACAAATGCACAGTCTTCTCTTCTTCTACTGACAACCCTAGGTATAGCTCCAGAGACGAGCACTTGGCGAATGGTATGAATCATCATTGTGCTGATAGAAGATACAGGAGAGCAAATGATGATGGAGGAGGAGGAGGAGGAGAGAGAAAGGTCAATTGCGAAGTGGATGTGATATCTTGGCGGGAACGAAGAGTTAAGGCCCAAATTCTGGTTGATGCCGATATTGAATCGCTCTGGAATGCTCTCACTGATTATGAGAGGCTTGCTGATTTCATCCCCAATCTTATTTGCAGGTAAAATCAAAATTATAGTTTCTCTTTGTAGCTCTATTTCAATTATATTATATACAATATGTGTGTGTGTTTATGTTTTGATTTTGACCAATGTAAGGATTTGTTTGTATGAAGAGTTTTTTAATCTATGTGTGGTTTTATTGGGGGTACTGGATCAATTTTGAAGTTGCATTGGGCACCTAATTCGGTAATCAAGCATAAATAGAGTTAATTGGATTAATTAAACCTTAGCACCCTGGCCTGTACTTTTATTAAAATTTCACTTTGGTATCTTTGCTTTCAATTGTGATAGTCACTTGTTACACAAGTCTAATTGTAATGTCACGCTTTTGTCCATCTATTGTTGATGAGGCTGACGGTTGTTGAGGAGGCTGACAGAAATTAAAAGGAGAGGAGCCAAAGTGAGATTTTGGTGAAATTGTAAGGACTACAGTGAGATTTTAGTGACAGTGTATGGGTTCTAATGAGGTGAAAAAAATGTCACGTTTCGTTTCGCTCACGTGACAAATTTTATCAGCCTTGTTCACGCAAATAGATGTAAGGGTGACATTTCAATTTGACTTAAAAGTGTAAGGGGTTGACTGTTACAATTGAAAGTGGAGGGATCAAAGTGAGATTTTGCTGAAAGTGGAGGGGTGAAGTTAATTTAGAGTGAGTAATATTGGAACTTCAACTTGTTAGATGGGGAGTAAGCAATTTTTTTCCTTTGGTTATGTTTGGATCTTGTATTTGATGATGGATTTTTGGAGGAAAAAGGAAATGGAAAGGAAATGTGAACCAAATACAAGCTTCTTTCTCTTTTTTTTTTCCTCTTTTCTCTGGAAGAAAACTATGAATGAAATATAAGTTCAATTTTTCTTTTTTACATTTCTCTTCCCTTCGCTTTCCCTCTACAAATCCCTCCCTAAATCTAAGATCCAAACACAACTTTAAGCTATACTTTATGATATTGCATTTTGTACATTTGCGCATATGGGATCTAAGTCTTTATCTCTTAGTACTATTAATTCTTGTATATTTGTTAGCCATCTTTTACTGCATTGTATTAAATTGCACAGTCTTGGTGGATTCTATTGGGATTGTCTTATTCAATTTTCCACAACTATATTTTTGACATTGTCATTTGCTGCAATCGTTACTTGACTGGACTGCATGTTACTTGATTGTCAGTGGGAGAATTCCTTGCCCACATCCTGGGCGGATATGGTTGGAGCAAAGAGGCTTGCAACGAGCCTTATATTGGCATATAGAAGCCCGCGTTGTATTGGATCTCCAAGAATTTCAGAATTCAGTGAGCCTCTTTATATTTATGTTATATAATATGATTATGGTTATGCTGACATTATTATCTAAATATCATTTTGTTGCCAATATCTATTGGCTATTGTGTGTGCATGCTAATGAGACTTTGTGTGAGTATGAACGTGTGAGTGTTTACCTAGCCAAAAACAAGCACAATAATTGAATTTTGTGAACAAGTCAGCTAAGTCTGGGTGGAGGATGGTGTATGAAAGCACCTCGAGCAAAAATCAATGAGACAACCAACTGTGTATGCTTGGTCTACTTTGAAACATAGGATTGTTGGTGGACAAAGTAGCTATTTCATTATCATAATGAAGAGGGATAGTCATCATGGGATGAATGCATTGACGCAATATTACAACTGGTGGCCCCTTTTCTAATAGCTTAAGATTTTGGGACAAGTGGTGCTCTAGCACGGTATTTAAAGCTCAGGGTCAGAGGAGGTCTTGAGTTAACTTTTCTTTGTCTGCATTTGTTTCCCCATTTGCATTATGTTACTTTGCATTTTTGGATGTTTGCATCTCCACATACAAGATGGGGTTCTGCATGAAAGAGGTTTCCCTTTTTTCTTGTCATACTTGTGGCTCTCTTTGTACTGTATATATATTGACCTAATAGCTGTTTATGTAAAGATGTGGTGAACTCCATTTAAATTTGTATAATTTTCTTATTTAGTTCAATTTTTTGGTCATCCCCGTATGATATTAAACACGGTTTATCATTCTTGGTGGCCATTTGATTGTTTTGTTTCTACCCAACTGCTTTTGTAATTTCAGTATCTTCAAAGTTGAGATCTTACAACATGATATTTAAAATTTTAATTCTCAAATCTCATAGTCTTGTCCAAGATTGTAACTCTAAACTTTTTCTTAGTGTAGGCTAACAGTCGTGAACTCCACTTTTCCATGGTTGATGGTGACTTTAAGAAATTTGAAGGCAAGTGGTGTCTGAAATCTGGAAAAAGGTAATATCCACTATACTCCTAGTAGTGACAACATTGTTCAAAACCTCTAAATCTTGCTTTTCTGAATGGTCCTGGTTAGGGATCTTGTGTCCTTATCTCATTTCCTACCTTAACGACTCTAGTTATGCTCAAACAAGAACCTTGCTTTATAAACAAAGGTTTCTATTAGGTCAAGTGAGGAAAGAGAGGACCTTGATTGTTCATCTAGCTGAACAATCATTTCATCTCCCTTCTTCATGAATATTGACGCATGAATAAAATCACTTATTGCAGGACTTTCCTAATCTCTATTGGTTATTTTGTTTCACAGGTCCATAACAACAATTTTGTCATATGAAGTTAATGTGATACCAAGGTTCAACTTCCCAGCCATATTCTTGGAGAGGATTATCAGATCAGATCTTCCTGTGAATCTTCAAGCCTTGGCTTGTAGAGCTGAGAGGAATTTCGAAGGGAATCAGAATGCACTAATCACGGAAAGTATTTTGGGTACAACATCTATGGCTTTCCCTATTTCCCCTGGCATAGACATTGATGGTGCTTTATCAGAGAAAGATAAACTTTCTCCTGGAGAGTTGAAAGAGAATTATGCCAGTTCTTTTGGTCGTTTGTCCACATCTTCTAGTGACTTGAGCAGTAAATGGGGAGTTTTTTGGAAAGCTTGCAAAATTGATGGGCCTTGCATGGTGGATGAAGTTCATCTCCGTAGATTTGATGGCCTATTGGTAACTGATTGACTCTACACTCATCTCACTAGGCCTTTCTTTCTGATGGAAAGGCACATTTGTTATAGCGGTTTTGCTGATAAAATAGTTTTCGGGTGAAGGAAAACGGAGGCGTGCATCGCTGCGTTGTTGCCAGCATAACAGTAAAAGCTCCTGTTCGTGAGGTATGGAATGTGTTGACTGCTTATGAGAGACTTCCCGAGTAAGTGTCATTTTCATTTGTTTCTTGTACTTTTAATTTATGAGAAATGAATACATTGCAATTGTTGTTATTATCCTATACTAGCAACTTTAGACATTGCCCCCTAAGCTCCATCAAACATGGCATATGGACTATGGTGCATGAGATGAGAGAGAAGGAAAATAAGGGATGGCAATCATAACACTCTCAGCTCACTAAGGCAAAACGTATTTTTTTCTCTTGATAAGTAAAAAAAAAAATATTAAAAATGAAACCAATGGAAGTGCCATCAAAGGGCAACCAAAAATAAAAACAAAAGAAAACACTTAAATGTATCTTACAAAAGCTCTTTACCACAAGGGCATAATATATTTCCTGAGTTATATATCCAAGATTAGAAACAGTTCTCCTAATCAGTTCTCTTCGTTTATTTGTTTATTTATATATGTATGCTGAGTAAAATCAGTTATCACCAACACAACTGGTGCCTACCAAACACTTGTTTACATGGGCAGTGTGAAGCGAAGTCCCACACCGCCTGAATACTAAAGTAATATCAAGCATATAAGCGTGAGGGCACTCTCACCTTAATAGTTAGCTTTGGGGTGAGTTCTACCCAAGACCGTGTAACAGGCAATCCTTAATAACTATTTTTAGAAATATTTAGTCAAGTATCCTTATAAAAAAGAGAAAAAGGTATTTAGTCAAGTACCTGTTATCAAGTTAAGGAAACAGAAAAAATAAAATCATCCAGCTAAGAAAATCTTCCAAGTAATACCAACCATTGGATTTTGGGAAATTTTTGTAGTAATTGAAGTTCCTTGGCTGCTAAAGTGGCAATTGTCCATTATAATTTATAATGATCTACAAGGCCTACTCTCATTATGATTCCGCGTGAGGATTTTGCTGCCATGATCCCTGTTGTTGTGTTGGATGCAACCATCAGAGTGCCTGATGCCATTCTGCTAGCATGACACTGACACGCCGACAAGTTGATTTTCAATAAATGCAAGACATAACGGGCTTGTTTGGTTTGCTTTTGGGAGAGTTGTTTTTGAAAAAAAAATTCAAAATTTTGTTTGGTTTGTGGTTTTTCTCAAAAAATTTCTAAAATTACTTTCTCTCTTACAGCATCAATCAATCACTTTTTATCTCTCCTCTCTCCTTCTCAATCACTTTTTCTCTCACACATCTACTCAATTACAAAAAAATATCAAATCATCCCAAACTCCAAAACTACTTTTAAAATATACAACCAAACAAACCAAAAAAATTTCTAAACTCTCTCCCCAAATTTTTTTTTTGAAAATCACTCTCTCAAAAGCAAACCAAACACACCCAACATGCTTGGGACACGTTAAAGTTTTATATTTTTATAAATTATTGTATATCATATATATGAATAATTTAGTCAAAGATAATTAAAAAAAATGTAACATGACACATTTTTTACATTAAAAAGCTATATATTTCATAAATTTAATATCAAAATATCATTCACATAGCAATTACATTCTAAACGATGCAAAACAATTATATAACAGTGTATTACACATAATATATTCATCTTATAAATGTTTCAAAACATATTTAGAATGCATAAGTTGTGTTATGAGGAATGGAAAATATTCTTATAATAAAGGGATTCATCATATATGACGTATTTAGAGGGCCATGAAGTATTACTAAAATGTCCAATGTTATGAATTTGATATTTTAATTAAGACACATTGAAGAAGTATCGGACATGCTTTTAGGAGTGTCCAAAGAGTGTTGTATTGGACAAAGATATCGGAGAGGACACGACACGACACTGCTTAGGTGCTATGTTGTTAGATAGTAAGCCTAGGAACACACAATTGGACATAGAAAACACAGATGGACAAGATGTACAAGATTTGTTGATGGAACTCACTTCTGGAAAATCGCGTTGGTGTATCTTGTGTCTAGTTATGTGTTTGGTTTTTTTGTTCTTAAAACTTATTGATTGTTAAACAATAAGTTTAAGAAAACAGAAACCAAACACAAAGCCGGACACCAAAAACACATGGATGGACAGGATTTTACTTGATTTGTTGGTCTCTGTTAAAATGATCTTTGAATATGAAAGCTACAGAAATGTGGACATATCATAGCAACCTTTTCCACTATGCAACATTTATATTCCTGATCTTGTTTCCTTGTGAAACTATTTTACAGAATAGTTCCAAATTTAGCAATCAGTAAGATTTTATCGCGTGACAACAACAAAGTTCGCATTTTGCAGGTACAACAGAATTTGATTATTATTAAAATTTGTGGTCAATATGAATGCTTATCTACTCCAACGGAATTAGACTTGGAATTTAAAAAAAAAATTAATAAGTTCCATTCTTGAGGGCGCAACGCTTGTTGTTGTGCGTGTCATTTTTCAGGAAGGATGCAAGGGCTTATTGTATATGGTACTCCATGCACGTGTCATCTTGGATTTGTGTGAACACCTGGAACAGGAGATCAGTTTTGAGCAGGTTGAAGGAGACTTCAACTTTTTCCAGGGAAAATGGCTTTTGGAGCAACTTGGAAATCATCACACACTATTGAAATACTCTGTGGAGTCAAAAATGCACAAGAATTCCTTTCTTTCTGAAGCTATTATGGAAGAGGTTTGTGAAATTTATTCGTCTACGAGTTCGAATTTCTCTCACACCGCATGGTTGTCTTCTTTTATATGTTTAGATTAGTAGTCCTTATGATTTTTTATTTATTTTTTATTTTAAATAAGACCTTCTGATATATTCATCTACTATAATAATCGTCCTTACAAAATTGTTGATGGTAATTTTGACATTTTTAGGTTATATATGAAGATCTCCCATCAAACTTATGTGCCATTCGAGATTATATTGAAAAAAGGGAAGCACAAAACACTTTGGAGACCTGTGATCATGCAGTATTTTCTGTGGAGCAAACTGCTTCTTCTAGCAAAGACAGATATGATGATTGCATGTCGGTTGAGAAAGATTTTGATTCTGACAGTCCACATCCTTCTAGACAAAGACCACGGGTTCCAGGCTTGCAGAGAGATATAGAAGTTCTTAAAGCTGAGCTTATTACCTTTATATCACAGTATGGGCAAGAAGGATTTATGCCAATGAGAAAGCAACTTCGCAAGCATGGAAGGGTGGACATTGAGAAGGCAATCACACGCATGGGGGGATTCAGAAGGATCGCATCTTTGATGAATCTTTCTCTTGCTTACAAGCACCGTAAACCAAAGGGTTATTGGGATGACCTTGAGAATTTGCAAGAAGAGGCAAGTTTTCCAGTTTGTTGTTTCGTTTTGAGTTCAGACATGGAAAATGACACCAAAAAAAAAACAAAAAAACAAATAAGAAGAAAAGGGAAAATACATGAAAAGGAAAAAAAATCTTAATGTAGAAGTCTCAAGTAATTTTAATCTTAAGGAGAAATTATGCTGTTTTTTATCACAATACTGCCGGCCTTGATTTTTGGTAAAGTTAAAAACTGATCCCTTTCTATCTTGCAGATAAGTCGGTTCCAGAGAAGCTGGGGAATGGACCCATCATTTATGCCTAGTAGAAAGTCTTTTGAGCGTGCAGGTATAAATAATAAATTTCTTTCCAGTTACAAGCACAATGTCAGAAGTTGTTTGTGGTGACTGCTAACTTAATTGTTATTTCTTACACTTGGGCTGCGTTTGTTTGGGCGACAAGGCCACAGAATTGGAGGCCAATCCTGAATCTCATGTTTGGATATGAAGTGGACCTTGTATATCTCCATATGGGGATACAAATTAGGGGATTAAAGGGCTACCTATTTGCTCACCACACTCCCTCAGTTCACATCATTTGTGCCGTTCGGATATAAATTTCCAAACAAAATTAAATGTTCGGATATCAACTTCCAAAAAAAAAAAATTCAATTGTCTTGATATCAAGTACCCAACATGGTTTATATTTAAACAATTCATTTTTGTTTGGAACCTTGATATCCAAACGACAAAATGGAACTGAAAATTTCTATGGTGTACAAATATAACCTCCCAATTAAAGGGGTTAAATGACCAAAACATCCTTGAGCTATGTCATTACATCATATGCTCTTATGTCTAGTGATAGGACTCTGATAATTCTCCATCCTAATTGAGGGTTATTCTCTAACCTCTGAGATAGGACACATCATCTTAAAAGATTGATAATCTTATGACTATTAGACTAATAGTTTTATGTAATCAAGTCCAACAAAACAAACACGGCCTAAGTGACTTGGATTCATATGCATTTCATGTTTTTTGGATTTTCTTTGTCAGGTCGGTATGACATTGCTAGGGCATTGGAGAAATGGGGGGGACTGCATGAAGTATCTCGTCTTCTCTCACTAAAGGCGAGGCACCCTAATAGACAGGGAAACCTTTCCAAAGACAAGAAAATGGATTATGTATTATCTGCCAATGGTGAAGGGAAGGTACCTTCTAAACCTTATGTTTCTCAAGATACACACAAGTGGCTCATGAAACTTAAGGACTTGGATATTAATTGGGTTGAATGAGAATATAGTTTTATTTGTTTTCTATTTCTTGTGGTCATGGAAATTGTGTGAATAATGCTATACAAAAGTTGTATATAGAAATATGTGATTGAATTGGGATTAATCACTTTTATACAAACTGAAAAAGTTGGGAAAAGTTTGTATATAGGCTAGTGGTGCAGTTAAAGGGGATTTTTCACTTTAAAATTTTCAGGAAAATTACAACAAACAAAAAAAAACCCAGGTTTTAACCCAAGTTTTAGCTTTATAACAAAATAAATTTGAAGTTTTTAATTTATCAATTTAAATCCTAATCTTTTAATTTATTTTCAATCTAAACTATCCACTTATTTCCGTTAAGTAAAACAGTCAGAAAAAGTGTATTTAAGTCATTAAACTCAATGTAAGTGTACGGAAAATATCTAAAATACTTGTTCCCATTGAATTTAATGATTAAAATACACTTTTTTGACAGTTCTATTTAACGAAAACAGGCAAATGATTTATATTGAAAATTGAAAACAAATAAAAAGACTAAGATTTAAATTGACAAAATTGAAAACTCAAGATTTATTTTGTTACAAGATTCAAATTCTGGGATTTTATTTTTATTTTTATTTTTTTTGGCAGTTTTTCCAATTTTTTCTTCTCCCCCCCCCCTCTCTCTCTCTCTCTCTCTCTCTCTCTCTCTCTCTCTCTCACGCGCGCGCACACACACACACACTTCATTTATATTTGAATCTTGTGAAGTTAATTGCATACATAACTGACTGGGTCTATATGTCGGAGCAAATTTTAAACGCCTTGGACATAATGTTGATTGATTTATCTTCAAGGTCTAAAAATGGCAAGACAAAGGACTGTCTTTGTAGGTTAATTTATTTGAATCAATTAGAACTAGGGTGGCAAATGGGCCATTTCATACAGGTTTGGGTTGGATATAGTCGGCCTGGTTGTATATTAAATGAGTTAACCTGCCAAGTTAGCAAGCATGTTAATCTTCTCTGGTGAGCTTTTCCAGACATGGAGGCTTGTTTACTTGGCCCATTTGGTTGGACCCGACCCATTTGTTCACCTGGACACAGTTCAGGCGCATGGATCCATGTAGACCCTTTACTTATTTAGCCCACACTCTATACCACTACTTTCCATTTTCATATTCATGTAGCTTTTCCAGACACGGTTCGGGCACATGGACCCGTGGAGGCTTGTTTACTTGGCCCATTTGGTTGGACCCGACCCATTTGTTCACCCGTGCATGGACCCATGTAGACCCTTTACCTATTTAGCCCACACTCTATACCATTTTCCATTTTCATATTTATGTACATGCAACTGTGTTTGCCTCAGAAAAACTCCGCAAATCTGGCAACAATCACTACCACGAGACTATGACCTCGATTTTATATGAATTCTATATATATAACACCTTTAAAATAACCTTGAAATCTGAATGACAAATATATGCATAAAAACCATTATGGAAGAAACAATTACAGGGCCTAGAACAACTCATCTCATCTTAGGCAATGCCTGTAGCCCAGGCTTTTTCTTACTACCAACTCCTAGCTTGACACGTGCCTTGGTCTTGCTCGGCATTTCACCGCCCTCTGGCGACGAAACATTTGCCACCACTGCAACTTCTTCACCGCTTTCTTACTGCCATTCCTACCGCTCCCCAAACGTTTGATGCTGCCTTTTGACACCTTTGATTTTTTGGAATTCAGTAGCCCCTATACAAGTGTGTGGAAGAAATGTCCATGCTGTTTCTTATCCGGTACTTTGCAAACAATTGATTTTGTTAGTTTTTCAGCTGCTTTTTCTCCATAAGCTTCGCCTTTGTTTGCGCCCAGATATATGCATAAAAACCGTTATGGAAGAAACAATTACAGGGTCTAGAACAACTCATCTCATCTTAGGCAATGCCTGTAGCCCAGGCTTTTTCTTACTACCAACTCCTAGCTTGACACGTGCCTTGGTCTTGCTCGGCATTTTCACCGCCCTCTGGTGACGAAACATATGCCACCACTGCAACTTCTTCACCGCTTTCTTACTGCCATGCCTACCACTCCCCAAACGTTTGATGCTGCCTTTCGGCACCTTTGATTTTTTGGAATTCAGTAGCCCCTATACAAGTGTGTGGAAGAAATGTCCATGCTGTTTCTTATCCGGTACTTTGCAAACAGAATCATGAATCATTGTAATAGATATAACATTACATCAATCAATAATAATACATACAATTTATTCTCTCTTTTTCTCTATACATTATTTCTTACAATGTGCCACCACGACCCACCTTGGCCTTTTGATATCTGTGATCACCATCATTGTGATGGTGGTGATAGTGGTGGTGGTGATGGTGGAAGATAAGGGCTAGTTTGTCTTTCAATCTTGTTAACTTGCCTATCGGTTTCTTTGGCTTCACTCGATCGCTTAATCTGGAACCCTTGGTAGAATCCATACTGGTTGATCTAGATGACAAAGCCATGTGATGATGGACCCATACCCGATCTGACGGTGGACAATCCTCACTTTCACTACTACTCGTAGGACCTACGCGATGAGGCCGGCCCCTACTTGGCAGTGAGTTCACCTCACTCTCATTACTACTGGTTGTAGGTCCCACATAACGGCCTTCTGTCCGACCAGACAGTAAGTACCCCTCACTATCACTACTGCTGGTGGGACTCATATCGTGCTGACCACGAGTGTGGCTCGGCAGTGAATACTCTTCACTGTCACTACAGCTGGAGGGAACCATATCACGATGACCACGTTTACGGCTCGGCAGTGAATACTCTTTGCTGTTACTACTGCTCGAGCTAGCTTGCTGACTTGTCCAGCTGGAGGAAGAACGTGAGGATGAACTCGCATCTTCTGATTGTTGCTGACGTGGCAAGATCTTTTTCCGTTGGGCCACCCACTTATTACTTTCTTGGACCCCACCCCTCTCTTGATCCATCAGTGTTCCATACAAGGTTGGCGACACCATACACTGACTGATCTTCTGATCTTGCAGAGTTGGATTTGTAATCATCTGATGTGCTTTGACAGTTGAGATGTTCTACCCTTTCTGATTAGGTCGTGTGGCATTAAATTTTGATTTCGGTTTTCCTTCTCAATCTGACATGGCATCTTATTAGATGAAAAGGCAGAACAAGCCGCGTTTGCCATATTGGTCGGACTTGGTGGGACCCTCAAACCCCGAACACAAATACGAGCATGACTTGATGATGTATGATCATTTTTTGTCTCCGCAATCAATTCATTGGCTCATCCTGATCAGTAACCTGAATTGTCCTCCAGTTTGGTTTGCCATGTCCTTTCGACGAACGCTTCCCCACATGACCTGACAAATCATTGTTTGGTAAAGCAGTATTTGTACTTTGGCCAACCTTCTCACTCACTAACTCCGGCTCACAGGGCCATTATATGGGAGAAGCAGTTTGGAGGTCTGACGGGCAACCTGATCTGGCAATTCGGTCTCCCTAGGCTTCACTGTGTTCTGTCTTGCCATCTGGCTCAACAAGTCATTTCCCACTAAATAAGGTTTGTGACTCTGAGTAACAACCTGTGGTAGTCGACTCAAGTTCTTGCTGTTCCGAACTCTTTGACTCAACTGCTTACTCAGTGAATCATCTCTGCCTATTACAAACTTGCAATCCTGACTCCGCTCACTCCAGGTAACTACACCCTGCTTTGTCTGCTTTATGGAACTAACTGAATCTATACCGAGAATAGAGTTGGCCATCATTTCTGATGGACACACAAGCTCAGCAGCTAGTTGCAAAGACAAAATGCGCAATTCAACTTGTCTGATGGCATCAGCAACTTATTTTGAAATAAAACCAGTCTCACCAGACTTCCCAATTTCTTGGCTTGTGTCATATATAGCTACTGATTTAGCAACCCCACTTGCTGAATTAATGGGTGAACAAGTCATGTCACGCCCCAAGCTCTGTGCCGCACACTCATATAAGTGAGCATGCAAGGCTAAGAATCCAATCACATAACCCACAAAATAAAATACTCAAATTAAATCCTTAATTGTCATAATGCCAAAATCTATAAAAATAAATAGTTCTCATATGAAAATGTCCACCAAGTCCACTAATTTAATCCACTAACAAAACAATAATCCAAGTACTTAAATCATGGTCCTACTCTCGGCACTCTCACATGTAAAAAAAAGATCCCGCGCAGCTCTACTCTTTAGAATCTGAAAAAAAATAAGAGTAAGCTAGATAGCCCAGTAAATAACCAACCATCACTGCTAACTGGATCAAGTATACAAAAATAAATAAATAAATCGGTAACCAATAAATATAATTTTTTCTACAGTTCAATAAATGAACAATTATTTGCAAGGTGGTTTCATAGTTAAAAATAATCAATGTACAATACATTTTAAATGAAAAGCCAACAAGATAATTCAAAGTAATTCGTTGTTCAAATCGATGGTTCGATATTCAGATGGTTCAATGATTTGATTCACAAAACCCAAGTCTTACTGACTACGGTCACATAGCCCGTGACAAGGCCCAGAACCACACATAGGCCGGTGGTAAAGCCCCAAAAGAAACTAGTTTCTGTGCCAATAAATAACCCCCATTGGCTAGGGTCCAAATCATAGTCAGACTAGAGTGATGTTCAAAATTCAAACAATACACAACTTTTAAATAAAACATTCAAAGTTTTCATGAATAAACGTTTAGTACAATTTTCAGAATAGTTTCACCAAATATTCAAATAATTTTCATAATAATATTCGATGTTGTTTTATACTTGACCCATATTTTATTTTAAGAGAACACGAAGGCTATAAATAAATATTTATAATTTTAAACGATTCGATAGGAATAAAAATGAACCAACAGTGATAGAGGGTTACTTACCTCAAACAGCTAAAATAATATTTCCCAAGCTAATCTCAAATTACAAAGATCAACCTCAATCTCACAAACCTAATAAAATATTACACCGCATAAACAATTATTATGTGCACCCATCCATCTCTTCTTGTAACAACAATAGAATAAATTAACCCAATAGTCTATTAGGAACTCCCACGATTTAGCATCAAAACAAAGCCATCACGGTTTCGGAAATTCTCAATCCATATTATTCTATTGTTGTTTATATACACGTAACAATTTGTAATTGCTTGTAGTCAATCGTGTATCCCACAAATACACCACCATTAAACTTAACCCATCACATATCAATCTCAAAATATGAACCACCCAAATGGGATGCAAAATACACTCTAAAATTGAGCAAAATTGAGACCCCCAACATAGACTACATCAATATATCTATTTAATCATATATGCCCATAAAATCATCTATTGATATATTAACACTAAAATCATAGATAGGAATACAATAAAATAAATCTTACCTAAGTGATGAATAAAGCAAAACCACCACTCTTATGAATCCTCCCTTTTCCTTGGTTTGGGTTTCTTTTCTTTAATTTTAAACTTTTCCAAACCCTTGCTTGCTACCTTCACCTTCAACTCTTCCAAACCCTTTTCTGCAACACAAGCCTCTCTTCTCTTTTTCTTTTCTTTTTTTCTTTTACCTTCTCAAACCCTAGCCGCCTATGGCGCAATTCATAGCCTCTGTTTTGTTTGTTTTCCAAGACTTAAAGCCACAATAGGTGGGCTTATTAACCTAATTTCTCAAAGTTACAAAATTACCCATCTAAGTAATAGGAAATATAATGCCATCTCATAACTAATTCTTTGATATTAATAAATGACTCATATAAGTTAATTTAATTACTAATCTATCCAATAAAATAATAATATTTAAAACTTGGGTTTTACATCCTTCCCTCCTTAAAAGAAATTTCGTCCTCGAAATTTAACATACCTGAAGTCTCAAAAAGTTGTGGATACTTTCGTTTCATTTCATCCTCGAGTTCCCAAGTTGCTTCTCTTTCTGAATGATTACTCCATTGAACCTTAACATAGTGGATGACTCGACGCCTCAACACCTGCTCCTTCTTATCAACAATTCTTACAAGGTGTTCTTCATAGGTCAAATCCTCCTTAAACTACAACGGTGCATAATCAATCACATGATTGGGATTCGGTATATACTTCCTCAACATCAAAACATGGAAGACATTATGAACTCCAACTAGTGAAGGTGGTAGGGTAAGTCTGTAAGCTACCTCTCCAATTCGATCTAAAACCTCAAATGGTCCAATAAATCTAGGACTCAATTTACCACGAACACCAAACCTCATTACTCTTTTCATAGGAGACACATTAAGGAACACATGGTCTCCAACCCCAAACACCAAATCGCGTCTCTTGTTGTCTGCATAACTTTTCTGTCTACTCTGTGCAGTGCGAAGTTGCTCTCTAATAAGATTGATCTTGTCCACTGTTTGTTGCACAATCTCAGGCCCTAACAACTTTCTTTTGCCCACATCATCCCAACAAATAGGTGATCTACACTTTCGTCCATATAAAGCCTCATATGGTGCCATCTGAATGCTCGCATAATAACTATTATTATAAGAGAATTCCACTAAGGCCAAATGCTCATCCCAAGAACCTCCAAGATCATTAACACAGGCCCTCAACATGTCTTCAAGAGTCTGAATAGTTCTCTCTGACTGTCCATCACTTTGAGGATGAAAGGTCATGCTAAAATTCAAACTAGTATCCAAAGCTGTATGCAAACTCCTCCAAAACATAGATACAAATCTGTTATCTTTATCAGACACTATGGTCACTGGAATACCATACAACTTCACAATCTCCTTGATATACAATTTTGCAAACCTCTCAAGGAGAACCCTACCATAAAAGCTAGAAAGTGAGCGGATTTGGTCAATTGATCAACAATAACCCAAATAGCATTGTTACCACCTTAGGTCCTAGGCAACCCCATCACAAAATCCATGGTAATATATTCCCACTTCCACTTGGGAATAGGAAGAGGTTGTAACTTACCTGTAGGTCTCTGATGTTCAACTTTCACCTGTTGACATACCAAACCTTGAGCAACATACTGAGCAATTTCCCACTTCATATTATTCCACCAAAAGTTCATCTTCAAGTCTTTATACATTTTAGTGCTCCCTGGATGTACAGTATACCCTGAACTGTGAGCTTTTCTCAGGATTTCTCTCTTGAGCTCTGTAAAATATATTGATGGATATTATTTATTGATGTATTACAAGATTGATAAATTACAATTCCTATACAATCTATATATAGAAGAAAATGTGGTAGTAGGTGTAGTGGACGTGATAGTGGGTTAGGTGAAGTGGAGTGTGTGGTGAAGTGGAGGTAGGTGAAGTGGAGTGTGTAGTGGAGTAGGTGAAGGTAAAGATGGGAAATTCTAACAAGCTCTAAATCATTAGGCACACACAACCTCTCTCCAAATCTCAAGGTTCCATCTTTATGCATACAAAATTCCATCTGTAGCCCTATTTCCATTTCAGCCTTAAGTTTTGCAACTGAGGATCTTTTCCCTGAGCATCTTTAATTCTATCAATCAATGTGGGTTGAACCCTAAGGTTTGCCAACTGCGCTCCATGGTTATGCCATCTAATCTTGATATTCAACCTTTGCAAGTCCTCCAAGCACAAAAGCACCACTATATTAGATTAATGTATTACTTTAATATCCAAGAGATCAAACCATTCAACCCAACTTTATAGCCAAACACACCTTTACCCATGATACAATACTCCATTGTTTCTATTACCCACCCAAAGTTACACTTACACATTGCACCCAATTCTCAAAACCTAAGTAGGCACCTATAGATCTTCCAAATCTCCTTAATGCATTGAT